CTAAGCAAGATGAGAACTGGCTAGGCAGGACCTCCTTCAGCCCCAAGGCCAGCATGGCCTGCCAGCATTGGTGCTCCAGGGAGAGGAGCAGCTAATGATTTTGAGTGTCTAACCCTCTTTCTTTACTGCTGTCCTGCTCTCCCAGGAGATGTCCTCTTCCAGATGGCTGAAGTCCACAGGCAGATCCAGAACCAGCTGGAAGAGATGGTGAGTCTGGCCTCTAGTGACCGCTCCTAGGTGTAAAAGGCAAATGCAGGTGGGCTGGGTGGGCAGGCTGAAGTGAAGAGCTGGCTACATGCTTTGGCTGTGTTCCTATGTGGGACTGTCCCACAGTCCTGTGACCATACTCAAAGGTAGAGATGGGCCCTGGGCTCTGGGCACAGGTCAGATGAGCCATGGTGAGTGGCCTGGGGACAATGTGCATGGGCTAGGCCAGGTCTCACCCTGGGCTGGCCTCAGGAGCCAGGTGGGGTCAGTCAGCGCCAGCCCCCGGGAGGAGCCATGTGTGCTCTGAACGCCAGCCCTGCCAGGACCCAGTGCCTTGTGGTGATGGCCAGAACGCTGGTTTCCTCTGTGGGGGGTGCTGGTTAGGAGCTTCTGGCCCGAGGCAAGGGGTCGCCGAGGTCTCGCCCGTTTCCTCTCAGGCCCAGCTGCTCTGCTCTCCTCTGGCCCCAGCATGGGTCAGTGGGGGTGTTTGTTTCCCTCTGGGAAAGTGGACCTCTAAAGCTGAGGAGGGCCAGTTTGTTTAGCGTTTGGGACCTCTGTCCAGTGCTCACTCCAGCAGCTTCCTGGTTCCGTGGGGCCCAGGCCTCACTGGGTGCCCTGTCCAAGGGCTCCTGCACTGCCTTGAGCTGACTGCAGGTCTGTGTTCTCTCCCGTGTCCAGCTGAAGTCTTTCCACAACGAGCTGCTCACGCAGCTGGAGCAGAAGGTGGAGCTGGACTCCAGGTACCTGAGCGTAAGTACGCCTTGCCAGCCCGCCGTGCTGCTGCCCTCTGCTCTCAGACCTTCGCTGTGGGGAGCTTCTCGGCTCCTCTGAGCCTCCTGTGCAAGAGGGCTCCCCCACCTGAGCGCCCCGGGAGCCCCACGCGCAGCCCTGGGGTGACCGTCTCACTGAAGGCACCAGGGGCAGCTCCCCCTCTCCACCACTGTGGCACAGCCGAGGACACGGCTGTGACGCTCTCCCAGAGCTTTACGAGTGCCTCTGGCCTGCTGTTCCTGTCCTTGCCGTTAGCTGGCCGGGAAGCTGAGGCAAACCTCCGGGCAGGATTTACCCCATGGGTTGACGCTTTTGACTGAGGACCAGGGCCCTTCCCAGGTCCGGTTTTTGTCTTTGGGCTGTAGAGACCTGCTGTGGGCAGGTAGGCCGAGGTTGCCTGCTGATCCAGACTGCAGCTGAGCATGTCTCCTGTGCTGCCCCCGGGCCTGCTATGCCTGCAGCCAGGGAAGGATCAGGAGGAGAGGGGCCGAGCTGCTGCTGAGCTCTCGAGCTTCTGTTTTTGTTGTGGACCCTCAGGCGGCGCTGAAGAAATACCAGACGGAGCAGAGGGGCAAGGGAGACGCCCTGGACAAGTGTCAGGCTGAGTTGAAGAAGCTCCGCAAGAAGAGCCAGGGGAGCAAGAATCCACAGAAATACTCAGACAAGGAGCTGCAGGTAGGTCTGCCCTCACCACCAGGTGCCAGGTCACCAGGTCACCAGGCCACCAGGCAAGCCTACAGCTCCATGTAGGGCCTCTTCCACAGAGCAGCACCTCACACTTTTAGCAAGAAAGTGATCACCCCGTCTTGGCCAAGGACAGGATGAGTCCCTGGTGGAAGTGGGCAAGGGCTGCTTGGCTCTCCTGGGAGATTTCCCAGCAGGCGCCAGCATCCCCTGGCTGGCAGGATGACCTGCTCACCAGAAGGTTCTTGGCCACAGGAGCAGGAATCCAAATTAAATCCTTCCCTGGTCGCTCTGGATTCTGCCCCAGATTGTCACCCTCATCAACTAGTCATGGCAGCATGGCCGATGGCTCCTGAGAGGCCGCTGTTGTTGCTGTTTCTTTCACCATCCCACGAGAAGCGCAGGTGCTGTGTCCTGCAGGGCTTGGGTCCTGAATGGCACAGAATGTATAGCAGAACTCCCGCGGGTGTCCTGAAACAGTGGGCCAGAAAGCCCACGCCCACCGCAGAGGTCGCCATAGACAGGCAGGGAGGACCGACAAAGCAGGACACCAGTTGTTTGGAGGAGACACCAGGAAAACCCCAGACAACCATGACAGAAGTTTCCGGAAATGCTCTGGGAAGGCAAGGGTGTGGCTCTGGGGTTAGTCTCTGATCTGGGGGCTCCACCCTGCCTGCTGTTCTCAGCACACACCTGCCTAAGTGAGTGTGTGCACAGGTGTGCAGCTGTGGTGTCCACACTGAAGTTGAGCAGGTCTGTGGGCCTCAGCAGCGTGCAGCCCTGTGGGGGTCACTTGGTAGGCCTGGGCAGGGAGCTGAGACCGCTAAGGAAGAAGTGCCACAGCAGGAGTGGCAGCTGCCAGTGGCCCTGTCGTGCAGGTTCCTGCTCACGCAAGTGTGCTTTGCAAGGTGACAGCAACAGTCCCTGCCTTCCTCATGTGGGGTGCATCTCTCTGTGCTCAGAATCTCTGTTTTGGTCATTCTTAACGATCCGCAGCTGCCTCTAAGGGTGTGTGCAACCTGGGGCTGTCCCAGATTGCTGCCCTGACTACCTCAAAGTCTGCGATCAGGGCCCTCAGAGTGGGAGTGTGGTGAACCCCGACACGCACCCTTTAGTACGTGTCTTACGTCCTCTTGGATCTTTGATGCTGGCTGCCATTTTGCCTTCTGAAGGCCTGACGCATACAGAGCGTCCCGCTGACGGGAGTGTGGTAGCTTCCTCAGTGCAGGGGCAGGCAGTGCAGGTGATCGCTGTTGGCCTTCCTGGGCAACCCGTCCAGGTGTGAGAGTGCATGAGAGAGCAAGCCTTCCAGCCTGGTGACAGGACACCAAGGCTGTCCAAGGGATGGCTGCCCGCTGGGGGGAGCTGGGGCCTGTGGTCCCCTCTCCTCAAAGCACTCTGTGTTGCCCTGGTAACAGCCTCACTGCGACACAGTCTTCATACCTCCCAGAGCCAACAGTGGGGTGGTTCTGAGCACATCTGTAGAGTTGTGCCACCATCACCACAGGCAGCTCAGGGCATTTCCACCACCCAGGAGGAGTCCCATGCCCTGGCCAGACACAGAAGTGCACACCGCCATCCCAGTGACGCAGGAGGCTGAGGCAGGAGGACCACAAGTTCAAGGCCAGCCTGGGCAACTTGACCCTGTCTCAAAAAAAAAAAAAAAAAAGTGGTAGCTGCAGCTCACTGGTCGCACACACACTCCAAGCCCATCAGCAGTCACCCCATGTCCTGCCTCCTTCCACTGCCCACAGCACCACCCTGCCTTGTGGCTAGAGTGCCTTGTTCTGCATGTTCTGACTGATTGGACTTCCACCCACAGGCCCAGAGGTGGGTTTGCCCCTCCACTGCATCTCACTGGCCTCTCATCTGTGCAGCAGTGGAGGCCCTTCCCCGCCCCCCCGTACTGGGGATGGAAACGGGGGTGCTGTACCATTGAGCTACATTCCCAGCTGTTTTTATTTTTTATTTTGAGACAGTGTCACTAAGTTGGCGAGCTGGCTTCAGACTTGTGCTCCTCCTGCCTCAGCCTCCCGAGTGGCTGGTATGCGCCATCATGCCCAGAGGCCTTTCCTCCTGGCAGATTGTGAGCCTTGGTGTGCCCAGCCTTGGGGAGGTCTGCTCTAGGACCATTCTGGTGCCTACTTCCCAGGTGGGCTGCATGGGCCCCTCCAGTACTCAGTGCTGCCTGGGCTCACCTCCTGGGGGCTGGGCACAGATGTGACCTGAGGGACACCTAGTCCTGCATGAGCCCCTGTGGCTGTACGTTCTTGGGTGTAAAAGTAGGTTCTGTAAAATGGGTGGCTGTACAAACAGGGTGGCTCCAGCTGCCAGCAAGGATGTCCTAGGCACCAGGAGCAGCCTGTGTTGAAGCTGCCGTGGTGGGGTCGCCCTGGTGGCTGTACCTACTGTGTCCCCCCCCCACAGTAAGTGCTCGTGGTGTCTGTCCATCAGGCAGCGGCCACTGTCAGTCTTGGCTCAGGGGTGGGCTTCGAGCAGGCCTGGAGGGTGGAGGTGTGCTGCTGCTGCTCCAGGCTGTCTGTCCTGACGGACAGAAGCTAAGCGCTGGGGCATCTGGTAAGGACGGTGACCTCTGGCTGGTGGTGCCTGCCCAGCCAGAGTTTGCTGAGGTCAGTGGTGCTCCTGCCCCTGTGGAGAGAGTGGCTTCTGGAGCAGCTGGTAGGGGTAGAGCCCAGTGTGAGGGGCCAGGTGCCGGGTCTGCAGATCACCCAGCTCCACCTCTGGCCCAGCGGCCCTGCTGGAGGGGCTGTCCCCTGTCTGCCTCAGCCACGCTCGTGAGGGCTTGGCCTCACAGCGCCTCTCCACAGATGTCCAGTGCTGACCTTTCCTCCCAGGTGTGAAGCTGCCCCTTTGTCTTTCTTCTCTGTACAGCTGTGTGCCTCCCAGCCTGGCCTGTTTGCCCTGCCACGAGGCTTGTCCCGAGCCACCCCAGCTTCCAGACACACAGTAGCCCTGTCTGCCTGGTACTGCCCTCTCCATGCACTGCAGATGGCCCCAGGCTGGCCTGTCGTCAACTGGGCACATCCTCTGGATCCTCTCTCTTTTTTTTTTTTCCTTATCTTCAACCTTTAATAGGCTAATGAACACAAATTGAAACAAATGTGAATCATGCTCTGTTCTGAGAGAGTGAAGGGATTTCCCCCATATTTTAAACATATTCACATAATCAGTTCTATAAAACTAAGTATAAAACCAGTTTTCAGATGACATTCACCATTTTTGTGAAATACTGAACATTACTAATTAAGTCCAACTACAACTTTAAAAAGGGGAAACAGTGATAGAATTTACTGAAGTAGGAATATAACCAAAATATTAATTTAACTACAAGTAAGTTTTACTTAAATCAGGATTGTTCAACAAAAATAATTTTGTCAGTCACTCATGATCTGATTTCTGGTGTATCACATCAATTAAATTATGGTGCACATAAAAAAGCCAAGAGACATTTCTGTTTGGTAATAAATAAGGCAGTAGCTATTCCTCATTAGTGGCTTTTTTGAGGTAAGCTATTAGGTCTGCCCTTTCTCCCTTCTTCTTAATGCCAGCGAAGATCATTTTTGTTCCAGGGATGTACTTTTTGGGATTCTCCAAATACTCCATCAGTGTATCCTCTTCCCAGGTGATGCCTTTGTTCTTGTTAGCATCTGTATAAGAGAATCCAGCAGCCTGACCTGTCTTCCGCCCAAACAGTCCATGGAGATTTGGCCCAGTCTTGTGCTTGCCTCCCTTTTCCACCATGTGGCATTGGGCACACTTCTGAACAAAAATCTTCTTGCCTTTCTCAACATCACCCATTTTTAATTCGTTCTTTCGTGGCTAGCACAAAGAAGCAAAGAAGGATCCCGATCAGAAGCCGGACGTCCCACTCTCTCTGGATCCTCTCTGAGCCTCAGTTTCCATGTCTGGTTGGGGGACGCTCTGGCCTCTCTTTCCTCTGAGCAGGGCGGGAAGGGCCTGTGTGGTCCCCACGTACACACACACATATCCCCTCCCCCGGCGTCACAATTCTCCCAGATCTCCCCATCTTCTGCTTCTCAAAAGTTTTCTCTTGCCTCTTTATGAAAAGTAGCCAGGTGTCTGGTTTCTGTGCTCTTCCCTGGACGGGATGGGTCCTGCCTTTCTGCAGCACCCAGCACAGCACCGGCACAGGCCGACCACAGAGTTGACGACCTACAGGTCTCAGTTCTTGTCTTTTTATTTTGTGCTGCGGGACGGAACCCCAGGCCCTATGCGTGCCAGCGAGGTGGGCGCTGCACCCTGAGCTGCCCGCTCCACCCTGACATTGGATTTCTAAGAGTGGAAGCAGAGGGACCCGCTGAGCAGCGTCACCTGACCCCAGTGTTGCAGAAGCCCAAGTGGCCAGGCCAGGGAGCCCTTGGAGTCCGAGTTCGAGAAGGAAGATGGGGTACTTGGTGTTCAGCTCCCCTGGGTCCCTCTGAGCTGGTCAGGAGCTGCTTGGGGACCTTTGCCCCTGGGGCACTCCTATTGGCTCTCAGTGCCTTTGTAAATCTGGTCAGGGCCTAATCCCTGCTTTAGGGTGACTGCTGGGGCTGGGTAGGGCCCTGGGGCTTTTCGCTGCAGCAACAGCAGCACCTTCCCCTTCTGAAGGGAGGACACATCCTAGCCCACCCCCTGTGCAGTCCCACTCAGGCTCTGCCCCTCCGCCAGGCCAACCCTGCCCCTCTGGGCTGGCCTTTTACCGCTTTTTGTGGGTCTAAGACCCCCGCAGGTCCTTGTTACCAGGGAGAGGACCTTTCCTTCCATGTGGAAGTACAGCTTTCCAGAGACCTTCTCCCCATGTTTTCCCCTTTGTTAAAGATTCTGAGTGCTTCCCAGCTGCCCACAGGGAGGCCCAATGGCCAAGGCCTCCACAGGGCCCTGCTGGGGCAGTCTCCAGCCAGAGGGCTGTTCCCTGCACCATCCTGGAGACCCTGCCTGGCCCTCGGGATGCTGCAGCCCTTAGACCTGCTTGCTCTGTGCCAGTGGAGCCACCGTGTCTGGTGTGCCTGTGGGGTCACCCCTGACAGGAACAGTGGTTCTCGCCCCTGAAGCAGGGTTTGGGGAGGCCGAGGTGCACACACCCAGTTGCTGGGGTGGCAGCTGGGTGCTATCCTATTTGGACCCCTGGGACTACTTCTTAGAGCTAAGTAGGAAGGTGGGACAACTGGACCACTGGGAGTGGTGGTGACCCCAGGCCCTGGAGTGACCTGGCCCATCCTGGGCCTGGGGTATGTATAGCAGATAAGTAGAGGTTTCCACTCAGTTCCCCAGTCACTCCCCCGCCCCACAGAGGCCCCCTCCTCATGTCTATGAGATGCCCTTTTGTGTCCCCATTATCTCTCAGACTCTGTGTGTCCCTCACCTGGTGGGCCAGACATAAGGGGGCCTAGCCATGGTACAGACTGTGGGCAGCAAGGCAGGTGGAGACTAGTAAGGACATCTGTGTATGAGAGGTCTCGTGGCTGGCACAGGGTCACCCTGGGGTGCTTGAGCAGTGCTGAAGCCTGAGCCTCTGCTGGCCATGGTCACTGCTGGTGGAGGGGGAGGGGGAGGCTCAGGAACCAGGCCGCCTGAGTCCTGGCCACCCTGGTCTCATTAGGTATACCACAGGCTGCAGGCCAGTGGGAGGAGCAGTGGTTGTGTGTAGTCGGGTGTGGTCCTCTGTGTTCCTTGCAGTATGACTATGTGTCTTGAGAATCAATCGTCTCTGAGGTCACTGGGGTGCTTAGAGCCTGGTGCTAGCCGTGACGTCCTTCTGGCCTCTGCCACCTGGGTCCAGGGGCTCCTGAGAGCAGAAACTCACCAGGGAGGTCCCGGGGCTATTTCAGGTTGGGGCTGAGCTCAGGGGCTCATGGGGGAGCAGCTCTGTGTCTTTGGGGGTACCCACGTGGCTGCTTTCCCCACAGCCTCTCTGCTGCTGGACTCTGCCAGAGCCTTGTACACATGCCACAGTAGCTAGGCCTGTGGCCTTCACTGGACTGCGGGCAGGCCAGGTCCAGAGCAGTGGTTGCTGCCTAGGCTGGTGAAGGAACTGGTGAAGTTGCCTGGGGCCTGAAGTTACCCAGTCCCTGCCCAGAGAGGCAGCAAGACCAGGAGCTCAGCAGCCACACTCAGCAGATGCTCGAGACAGCGCGTGCTGGGATTTCCACAAAAAGAGCTCTTTAAATTATAGGTCAGGGAGCAGGAGCCCAGGAGCATTTGGGGCGCTAAGTGGGACAGGAGAGTTTTACATAAGAGGAGGGCGTGAGCAAGACACCCACAGCCTGCGGTCACCCTGCACCACCACGGGCTTCGCTCCCCAGCTACTCCATCACTACCAGGCCAGCCATCCAGGCTGAGGGAGGAGCCTAACCACGTGGAGCCTGGGGCATGGTGGACCCCAAAGGGCGAAGGACACACTGTGTCCAGTAGGTTGGAAGTGACAGAACAGGCCTCAGCGTGAGCCCAGTCTGTGCCTTCTCTTGGGGTGGAGAAGGTGCCTTCTCTTGGGGTGGAGAAGGGGTGTGCCTGTGTCCCACCTGCAGATGGAAGCCAGGGCAGGACGAGAGGGGCCATGACTCGGGCTGGCCGTGGGGCTGAGGATCTCCCTGGACACCAGCTGCAGCCCAGGTGGGAGAAGGGAGTGTCTGGTTCTCTTCAGGACTGGTGGCCTTGCTAGTCTGGTGCAGGCAGGGTCCTTCTGGTGGGTAGTGTCAGCTTTGGGGAAGCCAGGTGTCCTCTGCACCAAGATGCCCACCATGGGATAGGGCAGGTCATACCTGCACCCATGGTCTCCCCTTCTCCTCCCTGACCGCTTGTAACCCACCCTACCTCTCCAGAGCCCCTTGCTCACCTGGCCAGCCTGTGTCTCCCTCAGGGGTGTTACACTGCCCCACTGTTCTCGAAGCCCCTGACAGTCCCCACCTGGCCAGTGTCTCCAGGGCTCCATTCTGCCTCCCCTTCAGCAGGGTCCCCCCCCCAGCATTTGGGGAGCCTGCACCAGGAGGAGCCAGGCCTCTGGTGCAGGTCCCCCGCAGAGCCTTCAGCGTCAGATTTCTCCTGAGTATGTTTCTGTCCCGTCTGATCCCGCCCCCAGCCTGGCTCTCCTGCAAATGGACCTGAGCACAGGTAGCAGCCGCTGGGTGAGGTGACACCCCCAGCCAGGCCGAGGGCACTGTGGCTGTCGGGAGTCTGTAGTCACGCTGCCTCGCAGTGTGCCCTGGGGTGTGGTGCAGTAGGGCCTGTCCTCCCTCACCCATGACGGGCTCTGGGCACTGAGGGAAGGGCAGCTAAGACCCCACGTTGGGCCCCCGAGCCACATGGGAACCTAGGGAGATGGACGAGCCAGAAGCAGGCCTGGGGGGCCTGACCCTGCTTGGAATGACCTGAGGCATCAGTGACCCTGCAGCTGAGCCCAGGGTGCACAGGCCCTGGAACAGCCCTGCCTGACCCACCTGGTGGGCTTCTTGGGCAGCCCAGTCCCTGGAGCTTCTGGGGCCACCCACTGGGGCCTTCCTGGGCTGAGGTGGAGCATGCTGTTGCTGTAAGGGTACCAGGTTCCCTGCCTAGGTCAGCCTTCACTGTCCCCTCCAAGACAGTGTGGACAGGGTAGGCAGGTACAGCACCTGCCACTGGCCATGTGAGAGCCAGGGAGTGGTCCCGTGTCCAGGGTAGGACGCCTGCTCTAGAGGCTGTTGGGGTGGGGGTCCCTAGGTCCTGGAAAACTGTCCCCTCCCCTGTTGGCCAGGACATGGGAGCTGGTCAGATGACTTGGGCTCCTCCAGGGTCCTCAGTTGTGTGCCCTGTACTGGTTTTTGTGCTTTAGGCCCAAACTCCCTGATGGTGGTCTGAGAGAGAGACTTGCTCTGTTTAAAGGGGTGTGTGATTAACAAAGCAAAGACGGGATGCCATCTTCTGAGATGGCAGTGGAGGCTGGGCCCGCAGCAAGAATGATGGGGCAGCCTGCTCCACAGCAGGACCGTCACTCGCTGTGAGGAGGAGGAGCCCCCCTTCTGTGGAGTAAGATGGCCTGTCGCCTGGGGTCCTTGCTGGAGAGAAACAGACCACCCTGACCTCCTGGAGGACTAGGCGGCCAGGGAGGGAGCACTCTGCTTCTCTCAGGGCTGGGCCACGTGCACACTGTAGCCACGCCTCACCTGGCCCTTAGGGACACCTGGTCTGTGAGCCTCCAGCCCTGGCAGTGTGCTGCAGGTGTGGACAGGAGGCCGTGCTCCCTCCTATGGCTCTGGGAGTGTGCGGTGCTGGGCGGGGTACCTTGGCATTGTATGTCTGGGACAGCATGGGGGGTGGTGATGGGGACCTGCTGCTCCTGAATATCCCTTGTGGTCTGATAAAGTTCTGGATGCTTCCCCAGGAACATGGGGACCGTAGAGCTTGTGGGCCCCTGAGATCTGCCAGCGGTGCTGTGCTCTCACCTCATGTGTTCCCATAACACGTTTGCCTGAGTCGCCTTTCTGTGGCTATAACTGAACACCTGAGGCCAGGTAATTGAAAGAATGGGGATGTGTTTAACTCCCGGTTCTGAAGGCTGGAAAGTCCAAGAGCACAGCACTGGCATTGGACGAGGCCTTGCTGTGGCGTCAGGTGGAGCCGTGTGCCAGCTCGGGTCTGTCTGTCTCTCCTCTCACCACTGGTACCATCGTGGGGGTCTTGCCCCCAGGGCCTCCTCCAACCCGCCTGTCCCAGATGACTCGGAGATTAGATTTCTGGCCCTCAACAATGTTACAGAGTGGAACGGCCAGCCCTTCCACTGCCAGCCTGTACGCAGGAGCACGGCCCCCTGCTTAGCTCTGTCTGTGTGGCCCTGAGCCATGTGGGCTAAGCTGAGCGCCTGCAACCCTTGGAGCCACCTGCTGCGCTGCTGCCTGTGGCCCAGTGCTCCAGCATCACACACTGACCTGAGTGCAGGCCCTTTCAGAACAGGGGAGCCCTTGGCGGCAGAGCAGGCCCCCAGTGACTCCACGCTGGGGCCGCTGTGCCCTGGGTGATGCCCGTGAGCTGCAGGAGGCCTTCAGGGGCAGCCCAGGAGTTGGAGAAATGGGGTGAGGCCGCCACAGCTTCAGATAAGGTGAACCACAGGGCTTCAGAGTTTTCCAGAATGCCCTTCCCCCGTCTGAGTCACCGCGCACTCTGCAAGAAGAGGGTGCACTTTCGGATCCCTTCTGTCTTCCGGGATTACAGGGCTGCTGTGCCTGGGTGACTAAGTGGGCGCGCACCGTGGTCTTGGTGCTTTCGGCTGGGCGTTTCTGCAGTACTGTCACCATAGCACCCAGCTCAGCAAGGAGCAGCAGGGAGGGGACTGGGAGACCTGGCCTCTGAGGGACCGGCTCCTGCCATTTTAAGTGGCTGAACCATGAGCACGGCAGGCCCAGGCTGTGTTCTGTTATTTGCACGGTCCAGGAGACGAGCACTCCACACACAGGGCATGGGCCTTAGGGCAGAGCAGCTGGGAGCCCCTTGGTGGCCACTTCCTCCTTCCTCTCCCTGCCCTCCTCAGGAGGCCACACTCCTTCCCTGGCCTAGATTTCCAGGATCTTCCCAGCAAAGTGGTGACCTCCATGACGAGGTAGCCTGGAAAAGGAGGTCAGGAGAGTCGGCTGTTCCTAGACAGGAATGCGGAGCGTTGCTTGCGGGCCTAACTATGCTGCAGCCCAGGTGCCATGTCAGGGCCTCAGAGCAGCTGACTACTCACAGGAGGCTGAAGCAGGCAACTGCCCCATGTCCTTGTGACCCTCCTAGCTGGCCCTGGGCAGGTGGCTCAGGCACTACTCCCCTAGGCAGTGGGATCCACAGGCAGTATTGGAGCTCCTGCAGCCCCCACCACAGTGCTGCTTGCTGTCTCCCCTTCCTGAGCTCCTGGTTGTGACCTGTGTGACTCCAGCCCTTCTCAGGCTCCTGAGTAGGTGGAAATCTCAAAAATAAGCACCAGTCCCTCCCGACACCACAGACTGCCAGACCCTGCTAATGAGGCCAGTGCCTGTGTGCACACAGGGAGTCGAGGGCTGCTGTGCAGGGGCAGCACCAGCCTACAAACCCAGAAACCAGCTGTCGGGTGGGCAGCGGGCCGGCTCCGGGGCCTTGGCTTGGAAGGTGCTGTTCCTGGGGCAAAGGACCCAGGGGCCTCGTGTCCTGGCTTAGTCCTCTGTGTTGGGTTAACCGTTCCAAGCAGTGCCCTGCCTTCTCCAGAGTCCCCGTAGACAGTGGCTTGCTGGACGAGAGGGCGTGGGGCAGGGCACTGGCGTCCTCTCCCAGCTTTTCCTTTCGCTAGCACCTCAGCTGCCCTCCAGGGCTCTGGGTCTCATGCTGACCCGCCTCTGGCCTGGGCTTTGGGTGCAGCCGACCTCCAGGCCTGGCTACGAGTAGAGCAGTCTCCGGGACTGGAGGGGTACATGGTGGCTTGAGGACAGATGGCGTTGGGATTCCCACCCTCTCCCATAGGAACCTCGTACACTCCCGAGCTATCCGCTTAAGAGCTGCCTGTCAAGCCAGGCGGCTCTGTGGTGTGAGTTCAGAACCAGGGCAGGTGCCCTCTTTGTGGCCAGGTTGAAACATGAAAGTCCTCAACAGACTTTCATGGGGCGGGGCAAGTGGATCTTCCAGGTGGCAACAGGCTGGTGCTGGTGTGTACCTCTCCCTGTCCGGGCTCCTCTACCTTGAAGCTTGGGAAAGGACCTGGGCTGACCTGGGCACAGTCTCCTGGGCACCCTCCTCTGTGGCTCCTGGAGTCCTGGGCCACACCCCTGGGGTGCTGTTCTCCTGCTGCCTGGAGAGGGTGCCTCTGTGTGCATAGAGGCTCTGGAGCAGGGGTAGGAGGCGCTGATCCCGTGTGTTGCGTAGCCAGAGGCAGCAGCTTGATCAGGCCCCCAGGCCCTCACTTGGTGTCCAGGCATCTTGCTTCCCGCCTGCCAGCCTGTGTCCCAACCGGCAGGCCCTGCGGCCACTTGGGAGGAGCACAGCCTGTTCCTCGGGATGTGGCCTGGATTTGGTGGTGGAGGTGATGAGCCAGCCACTTTGGGCCCTTTCAGTTGCCCTCCAGAGGGGAGGGCTGCGCTCAGGGCAGGGGTCTGTGTTCAGTGTCAGCCCTGGGCAGGCCTGGACCTGGGGACACATTGTCCCGCTCTCGCTGGGAGTCAGAAGTGTGCCTTGGTGGCCATGTTGGGGACAGGCCCACACCCAGCTGGGCTCCTCCCCACCCCCAAGCTGAGCCGTGTGTGGAGAGGCGCCAAGGGAACAGCCTGCTCTTGGATCCCCTCGCCCACGGGCTCCGTTGCCCACCCACGCTGAGTCAACATGAGGCAAGGCTGTGAGTCAGACGGGAGGCGCCCCTCGTGACGGGGGCCTGCCCCCTGCTGGAGGACAGGAAGTGATGCTGCAAAAGCCACTGGGCAGCTCTAGGCCTGGTCAGGCTCTGGAGCAGGGGTGGGCAGCATGCCGGCTCCAGTGGAGGTGAGGGGAGACAGGCACTCTGGAAGCCTGAGTGGGAGGGGAGGGGTCTGGGCACCCACCTCGGGGGCTTTAGAGACCTTGACCTCCACCCACAGGCCTATTGTGTTTGGTGCTTGAAATTTCTGCTGTCTTCATTAAGTCCCCCAGCCCTAAGGACCTGGCGCACCAAAGACGCTTGACATAAGGCCAGGCTGAGCTCCGGGAGACTGAAGTGGTCGCTTTAGATTGTTGGATTAGGAACTGCAGGAGGTCAGCCATGGCCCCTGTGCTAGTGCCGCACACTACCAGGCCTCGGGCACATCCCTGCCAACCAGGTCATGGAAGGGATAGCAGAGAAGTCGGAGAGGTGGATGCACTCCTCCCCAAGGGACTGAGGTAGAGAGCCCTGGGGCTGGGTGCCTGTCACTTCCTCGGGGAAAGCACCTACAGGGCTGGGACCTGGGCTCAGTGCCCCCTGCTGGCCCCTGTGCTCCTGCCCCTGTGGCTCTTCCCCCAACTCCTGCCCTGACAGCGCCCTGCACTGTGTGCCTAGTGGCCTCTCTGGGGTAGGTTTGCTTGTACTGGTTTTTAAGGTTGTTTAAAATTGTCATGCAGGGCTGGGATTGCAGCTCATGGTAAAGCGCTTGCCTGGCGTGTGTGGGGCACTGGGTTCTGTTCTCAGCACCACCTATAAATGAATAAAGGCCCATTGATAACTATTTTTCTAAAAAATTATAATGGAATATACGTCCCTTAGTCACTCTTAAGTGTACAGTTCAGGGCCGTGAAGCACCTTCTTACTGACACTGACCATCCCTGCACCCACCTCCAGAACCTTCTTCATGTGAGAGACTGGCCCGCCCACACCCCCAGCCCCTGTTGGACTGTCTCTCTGAATTGACTTCTCCATGCTCACATTTTTTGGGGAGACCCTTCGTCCTGGTGTGTGCAGCCTTGGGGTCTTGGAGGCTGGTTGGGTGAGGTTCCACTGGGGTTGGGGGTTTTTTTGTCAAGCACTCTTCCTGGCTGGATTACCGGTCCCCCAGGAAACACCACAGCTGGGGCAGGACAGGTGTTGGTAGTCGGAGCCACATTCATAGCCACTGGGGCGTATGGAGGGCTGGGTCTTTGGATTGGGGTGGGGGTGCCGCTGGCTCCTGTGGGTTCTGTGGTGTGGCTTCACCACCTGTCTTTCCTGAGCCCAGAGCACCTCTGAGGCTGAGGGGTTTTCCAAGCCACCATGTCGGGACACATTCCCAGCCTCTCCGGAGGAGGCACCAGGGGTAGGCACCAGGGGTAGGCATCTGGGTAACACTGAACCGAAAGGTCAAGGTCACGGGTGGCCTCCTCTCCCATTAGGACCCTGCAACCACATGCGTCCTATTCTTGAGCGCGTGTCCTGTCAGGGCTCAGGTAGGAAGGCCTGCCTGTCCCCCGCTGTTTCTCACTCCTCTCAGCAGCTTCTCTCCCCTCCCCACAACTGGCTTCTCACTCTCTCCCATGTGGTTTTTGGCAGAACAGGCCACCAGGGCTTCTCTGTCCCCACTCCTGGCCTGCTCAGGTGGGGCCTGGTGGGAGAAGAGCCTCAGAGCGTCTTCCCACCCACAGCAGGCTGCCCGGTGTCCCCTTACTGCCGATGTCTGCGCCTCCTGCTCGAGGAACACTGACTGATGCAGGAGGACAAAGCAGCAGCCCCATGGCTGTGGGCCGGGATGCTGGGTGGCTCCACATGTGCATTTCTATGCCATGGCCGAGGCCACACAAAGAGGCTGGCCTGCCACTCACACGCAAGATGTGGCTCAAGGAGACAAGCCGAACCCCTCCACCTGGGTCCCCTGTGGGAGGCAGGACCCTTGGTTACACTGTTGGCATGAAGAGGCATGCCAGGAGTGGCTGCAGGGGACAGGGTCATCAGTTGTCCTGAGTGGCCCTGACGCCAAGCTATTTCAGCTTCCACTTTGCGGGAACAGGACCTGACCTTTACGTCGTGGGGCTGCCTGGATTCAGCCCACTGTGAGTTCTCACTGGCTCAGCCCTCTCCCCTTTATGCCCCCAGTACATCGACGCCATCAGCAGCAAGCAGGGCGAGCTGGAGAACTACGTGTCTGATGGCTACAAGACGGCGCTCACAGAGGAGCGGAGGAGGTTCTGTTTCCTGGTGGAGAAGCAGTGTGCCGTGGCCAAGAACTCTGCCGCCTACCACTCCAAGGTGAGCGGTCTGGGCCTCCAGCTCTGCTTGCTTGCGGCTGGGCCACTGGTGGACGTGAACTAAATAGGGCCATGTCGAGGAGTGTTGTGTCTCCAGCTGTGGTCCAGTAATACTGAGTTAGAATATCCCTGCACACTCCTGTTCTCCTGGGGACAGAGTTCTAGAGGGACAATTACCAGATCAAAGGATATGGACATGTTGAAGACCTGCATCAGAAATTGCTGGGTGCTTTTCAAGAGCTCAGGTACTAAGGAGGGCTTGAGGATGCGTTTTTTGGGCCTTCTAGAACGTTCTTGGTGAGACATGGGCTGGTGGCAGACTGGACAGTGGCCCACAGTACTCCCCAGTGGGATGGGGGTCTCTGCTTGGCCACCCTGCAGCATGGGCTCGGTGCCTTCACCTCTGCCCCTGGGGGCCCCTCTAACTGAACTGGGAATGGTCTCTGGGCCTGTGGCCCTGCCCCCTGCAGTGTGGAAGGCTCCCTGACTCTGGCCAGGTGTCCTGGCCATCCAAGACCATGCCACAAACCCCCAGGCCTTTCTGGCCATGTCTAGTAGCTGCCATGGCTTGGTCACCCACCCAGACCTGCCCAGCCGCACCCAGGTCCATGCTCATAGCCTCGCCCCTGCTTCACACTACTATAGGGAATCAGACCTGTCACATGGTCCTCCTGAGAGGGCTCCTTACCTCTCCTGTTCTCTTCCCTCAAGCCACGGGGTGCCCTGATGGGACTGGAGTATGCTGTGTCCTGCTTCCTTCCCAGGCCCCATACTGCCTGGGGCTCACACCCTCCTGTTTCCACTAGGCCACACTCCGCAGCTCCTTGAGGGGTGGGGAGATTCCCCCTGGGAGGCTCTGAGTCCTAGGCTCCGGTCCAGCCTTGCTCAACAGAAACGGCTGCAGGGTTCTCTAAGGAGGGTTTCCTCAGGGGCTGCAGTTGGCTTCCTCCTTGGATGACCTGGGGCTGAAGGACAGGGCTGGAGGGCTGATGCATCCCCCAGGGGAGTCAGGCCTAGGCACCAGACTTCCCGGGGCCCTTGTTCGCCCGCCCTTAGTCCATCACAAGAGCTGAGATGGACTCAGATTATGTCCCTGGAACATTCCAAGAGTTCAGAAGACCTGTTGGGCAGCTGAGCCCACCGGGAAGACCCTGCTTGTGTTCCCTAAGTGAAGGAGACGCCAAGGGGGCCGCAAGTGAACACCAACACGTGCACTGCCCATCACAGGCTTGCACACACACACAATCTAGAGCCGTGTCGTTAGTCCCCGTAGCCTGGGGCATCAAGGACACAAATGCCACTCCCTCCAGAGGTTCCTATCCTCACTTGCCTGGACAGGTGGCATCTCTACCCCTGGAAGGGGCGGGGACACTGCTGGCCATGCCTCCTCCCACTTGCCTCGGGTTGCCCTGCCTCAGCATCAGAGCCAAGCTGGGCTATGTGGTGCTTGCAGGGCGACAGTGGGGGCCAGGCCCTGTGAGGATCAGGGAGGGAGAGGGAGGCCTGCTCCAGACGCTTGGAGGTCCTTACACACAGGACTCCCTAAAGGAGACCTTAGCTTAACACCTGTGGTTTACCTGCCCGGCGTCCACCCTCTGTGCTCATGCCCACGGGCATATCCCAGGCAGACCCGTGTCCTCCACAGGCAGAGCCAGGCTCTGGCCCTGGGAGGGAACAGGAGCAGTGAGCCCCAGTACTGTCCTCTCCTTCAGTTCCAGCAGCCAGGCCTGGCCAGATTGGGCCCTCTCTGCCCCGAGTCAGCTTCCTCTCCTGCCTCTTGGTGGTTCTTTCCCTAGTGACACGTGGTCTGCCCACGAAGGAGCCGTGTGTCCTGGGGTGGCTGTGTGAACCCCTGCCCACTTCTTGCTCCAGGCCCCTGGGAGTCTCCCCAGGATTTAGCCTCAGTTGGTTCTCCCCGTGAAGCTCCCCATTCACAGCTTGTGAGAATGCACCAGGCCCCGGCTGGGTAGCCCCCAACCACTTCTTTTTAGTTGTAGTTGGACACAGTACCTTTATTATTTATTTTTATGTGGTGCTGAGGATGGAACCCAGAACCTCACAGGTGCCATGCGAGCACTCTGTCACCGAGCCCAACCCCAGCCCATGGTAGACCTTTTTGTACAAGGCCATGTTTCCTGGGTGACCTGTCTCACTCCGGGGCACCTGATGAAGAGCAGCCGTCGGTGCCTGGAGGGAGACCACGTGTCATGTGATGGTGCTCAGTGCCTCTGGGCTCTGCCCTCCACAAGGAGCCTGTGGCTGCCTGAGTTCCTCCTTGTCCTGTTTCTTCCACTTCAGGGCAAGGACCTGTTGGCCCAGAAGCTGCCGCTGTGGCAGCAGGCCTGTGCTGACCCCAACAAGATCCCAGACCGTGCCGTCCAGCTGATGCAGCAGATGGCTAGCAGCAATGGCTCCATCCTCCCCAGCGCCCTGTCAGCCTCCAAGTCTAATCTGGTCATCTCGGACCCCATTCCTGGGGCCAAGCCCCTGCCGGTGCCCCCTGAACTGGCCCCATTTGTGGGGGTGAGTCCTGGACCTCCTGGAGTGTACAGACATGGGGGTGGGCCCCTTTGCTGGGGTGGCTGCCCCTTCTCTGAGGGACACCCCAGTGTGCCAAGCCCAGGGCCCCCCATGGGACACAAAGGGCTATCTCATGAGGTCCCATAACACCTCACCCCTGCCTCCTGTTCTCTCCAGCGGATGTCTGCCCAGGAGAATGCACCCATCATGAATGGTGTCACAGGCCCAGACAGCGAGGACTACAGCCCCTGGGCTGACCGCAAGGCTGCTCAGGCCAAGCCCCTGTCTCCCCCACAGTCGCAGAGCAAGCTCAGCGACTCCTACTCCAATACACTCCCCGTGCGCAAGAGCGTGGCCCCGAAGAACAGCTACGCCACCAGTAAGGCCCCAAGGGTGCTGGGCGGGACCCTGCCCAGGAGAGGGGCAGGCCTGGGAGACCCTGAGCTGTCAGAGGCCTGTGCACGTGCTTGCAGGGGCTTCCCGAGCGAGGGCCTGCAGTACACATCAGGCTGGGAGTGCCACGTGTGCAGGGAGGCAGAGCCCTGTCCCTGGGCTCAGGAGGGCTTCCTTCAGCCACGTAGCACCTCACATCTGCCCAGCATTCAGGCACCCTGGCTAATGCCACAGGCTCCCTATGCCATGGATAGCCCCTCACACCGGCCCCCATTGTCCCAACAGCTGAGAACAAGACTCTCCCACGCTCCAGCTCCATGGCAGCCGGCCTGGAGCGCAATGGCCGCATGCGGGTTAAAGCCATCTTCTCCCACGCGGCTGGGGACAACAGCACACTGCTGAGCTTCAAGGAGGGCGATCTCATCACCCTGCTGGTGCCTGAGGCCCGTGACGGCTGGCACTACGGCGAGAGTGAGAAGACCAAGATGTGAGTATCCAGTGGGGCGAGAGTGGGCTCCAGGCACCCTGGTCCCTTAGTGAGCACAGGGACTCTGCGGCTCAGATGTGCTCACAGTGCTGGTTCTCTGTGGGGACGGATGGACGGTCCAGGTCTTAGGTCCTCCTAGGATGAGGTGAACCCGAGGGCTTGCCCATGTGAGGCAGCAGCCTTCACAGCTGTCTTCATTGACAGTCCCCTCTTCCACTGCGTCATCTTTCCTGGCCACTCAGTTTGGCATGCTGAGTGGTGTTCTGGATGCATATATTCTGTAGCACTCCTAGCTTCCTGGTGGCAAGGCCTGTGGTCTCCCAGGCAGGTGACAGAGCAGGACGTGTCCAGCCTGAGACCCCCCAGCCTTTGTGCTCCTGCGTCTCTGGCCTGGCCTCCGTGGTGGTACCATGTCCTGCAGGCTGTACCATCACAGATAATGCCTGTTTGCAGAGAGCCTGTGCCAACATGCCACTCTTGCTGCACCTGGGGGCTCCTGTCCCAGGGCCTCTTTTGTCCAGGTGTGTTGTAGCAAGAGGGAAGACGGCTGAGGTGGTCTGAGGTCCTGGCCCTGCTCTAGCTCAAGGGCAACCATGGCCCAGGAGAGGGGTCTCTGAGGACAGGAGGTCCCATCTTCCTCTTCCGGTGGCTTCTCTGGCTTTGGAGCCTTGGCAAGGGGCTATGTGGCAGTTGGAGCACAGCTGTGCCCAGGACTCCACAGGGACCCTGCCCAGCCTGTGGTGGTGGCAGCTAGGCCCATGGCTCCATCAGAGAGGGACATGGAGCTATCTTGCCCTCAGGGCTGAGTGTGGATCCAGCATGGGCCGAGGGACCAGGGTACAGCCGGCAGAGCCAGGCTGGGAGACGGGTGGGATTTGGAGTCTGATGGTGATTGGCAGAGGCCGGAATGCCACTCATTTGCTGGCCTGAAGACCTACGGTGCAGCGGGGAACCCTCTCACCGGCGCTTCTCTTCCAGGAGGGGCTGGTTTCCCTTTTCTTACACCCGGGTCCTGGACAGTGACGGCAGTGACAGGTTGCATATGAGGTGAGCATGCCACCCTGGTCGCAGATGGGGGCGCCTGGTCTTCGGCCCTGGAGAGTGCTGTGGTGGGAGCACAGGGAGTGCGGCTGGGCCCCGCTCCTCTGCCATCACAGGTCCCACTGCCTGTCTGAGGCCTGTGAGGTGGGTGGGGTGGGGCCTCGGGGCTGGCCTGGCCCCCACGGGCTCTGGGCGGTAGGGCACTGGGGCTGCGTGGGCAGCCTTTGGCTGATCCACCATGAGAGGGGCCATACCCTGTTTATCTTTGGAAGCAGGGAGGCCAGCAGGGAAGCCCACTGGGTTAGCATGGCTGCAGCCGGGTCTTGGGGCAGCCTGGCAGGGCCCAGCGAGAGTGCGCCATGTGAAGGCACCAGAGCCACATTGCTGGGGGGCCGTGGGAGCTGTGGGGGCCGTGGGGGCTGGGCTGTGGGCTGCCTGGCCTCCCCTGAGCCCTGCACCCCCACAGCCTCCAGCAGGGCAAGAGCAGCAGCACTGGCAATCTCCTGGACAAGGACGACCTGGCCCTCCCGCCCCCTGACTACGGCACGTCCTCCCGGGCCTTCCCCACCCAGACAGCTGGCACCTTCAAGCAGAGACCCTACAGCGTGGCTGTGCCTGCCTTCTCCCAGGTGAGTGCTGGGACCTCGGGTGGCGTCCCTGTGCCAGTCTCCCCTGAGGGGCCAGGTGTCCACACATCTTACAGGTGACTGCTGGTGCCAGCCCCACATAGCCCCCTCTTCCAGCCTTGGCTGCTCGCTGTCCTTTCCTGGTCTAGCTGTGGTAACCGGGTTGAGTGGCTGGCTCAAGGCTGTCCTGGCACCCAGCACTGCTCAGGAGGACGGAAGAACAGATTCCCAGGCTCCTCTCCCAGAGAGTTCAGGTGGTCCCAGGAGCCCCTGCTGCCTGAACCCTCCATCAGTGTGGCCTTGGAGGTCATGCCGTCCAGTACTGGAGACCAGAGGTTGCCATTGGAGGCTGAAGTCTTGGGCCCTGGATGGTTCGCTGGCAGGGGGTGGGTGTGGCTCTGTTCAGGGTGTCCATGTGTTGGAGCCCATGCTTAGAGCATGTGGCAACAGCAGGAAGCCCACGGGCCTTGGGCACAAGCCAGTCTCCAAGCAGGGAGTCACCTTCATGTCCCTGTGGTCTTGAGCTTTGATTCAAGGCTAGGAGAGTCAAAGATGGTGAGGCTACCACCCTTTGATGTCCAGTGGTCAGACCAGGCTGGCAGAGGTGAGACAGCTGTCCATAGCCATCCCCACCCAGCCTCACGCCTAGACAGTGTTGTCTCCCCAGGATCCAGACATTTCTAGGAAGCTATGGTTTGGGGCTCAGAGGGACAAATGGCCCGAGGCTAGCCCAGGCTCCTGGCCAGATACCCATTTTTACCAGCTGCCCTCCCCCGCACTGGCCTCTGCCTGCCCAATGTCCTCTACAAGCACACGTCCATCGCCCCCACCTTGGTCATACCTACCCCCAGGGCCAGCCTCTGCACATCACTTGCTTAAGGTCTGGCCTCCTGGTGAAGCCTCTGTTTTCCAAGACTGCCAGAGAGCCCTGGCCTTTCCTATTGTCCTCCACCTGAACGGCCAGTGCTCCTTCTGGGCCTTGGCTCTCGGGGAGGCCCCATTGTGAGGAGGGCGTTTCATGTGCCAACAGCTCACATAGTTCAGGAGGCCACTGGCTAGATGAGGAGGTGTCCCGTTAATTTGGGAGGTTCCCATGTCACCACGGGGAACCAAGGGCTCCAGGATGCCCACAGCCACTGCAGCCAGAGACGGGTGGAGACAAGTGCGGGCCTGCAGAGCCCAGTCTCAGCCCGGGGCAGAGAAGTCCCTGTGGACAGTGCCAGGGGCCTGTATCCCGAGGCTGACCATATGCCTTCACTTCCCCAGGGTCTGGAGGACTACGGGGCGCGGTCCATGAGCAGGTAAGGGCTTTCGAACGGCTCTTGAGGCTGGGCGGGTGCACCAGTGGCTCAATAGGGGTGCTGGGACCTGAGTCTCTTCTTCCTGGGGAGCCCTGCTGGGGCTCAGCCTCCACCAGAGTCGGACCCTGTATTAGCCCTGCTCCTTCTCCCTGGCATCCGGCTGGCCCCGTCCACCCCAGCAGGGTCAGAGAGGGCTGCCTGCCTACCTCCTCGACTCCTGAGCCCGGGCAGCCTCGTCACCACAGGACACATTCCTGTCTGGGCTTCTACATTGCCCACTCCTGAGGCGGTGGCCAGGCTCTGGCCAGCCAGAGCTGATGGAGAAGGCTGTTGCCGGCGGTGGGCCTGCTGCCTCTGGCTAGCATGGTGCGCACCTGGGCAGCTGTCCTATACTTTGTTCCACAGTGGCAGTGGCACGCTGGTGTCCACAGTGTGAGGACGCTGACCACGGGCAGCTGCTCTGAAGAGCCCCCGCCTCCACCGGTTCCCTCCTCCGCTCTCGTCGGTTTGTTCTTGGGTTGTTTTTTCCCACCTGCCCCCGCCTTTTGGTTGGTGACCCCAGACTCTGCCATCCCCCAGGGTCCATGGTGCTGCTCCCTGCGCCCCCGCGCTCACACCCCCACCTGTGTGTCCCCAGCCTCAAGCAGGAACGGCCAGGGGGGCCTGCTGGCCGGGCAGCAGTGTAGTGTCCTCGCCCGCTGCCTGGCCCTGCGGTGTCTGCGATGCACACCCCTTTGTGAAGCTCGCCACGGGCCAGGTCTAGAGCTCAGAGAAAAAGAAAAACCTTAAAAAAAAAAAAAAAATAGAAAAACAGGAAAAAGGACTTTTTTTTTTTTCCTGAAAAAAAAGATCTGCATGGCCTCGGTGTCCGCACTGTTACTGTGCATCTGCCCCTGGCGCACTGGGTCTCCCAGCATAGGCTCCGGGCCCAGAGGCTCCGCCCTGAGGCCCCAGCCCACCCAGCCCCTTCCAAGGGCCACACCAAGAAAGGGGGCTCATGCTGAGCTCAGGGGGGCCTCCCGAGGAAGCTGGCCACTCCTGTGAGGGAGGCCACAACCCCAGGCCCTGCCCTGCTAGGCCACCAGACCAGGCAGGGGCCTCTTTCCTTGGTGGACACTGCTGGACAGGAGTACACAGAGCAGTGTGTGGCGTCTCAGTAGTGGGGTGGCGTTGCCCCCGCAGTGCACTGGCAGGAGCAGGGGCCAGAGCAGGCGCTCCTGGCCGCACGTGGACATTCCAAAGACCTCCAGAGACCACCCCTCCCTGTTTTTTGGAAGCCATTTCCTTAACCAGCCTGCGAGGGCGTCGCAGCTCCCTGTGGCCCCTGGACTGCAGGGGCAGGGTATGCGCAGCTGGTCTGGCAAGGCCAACCCAGGGGGCTCTGGGCAGGCGCTTCGCGCCTCCCACTGTGGAGAGCAGGCAGCCCCTGCCCCGGTTCCTCCTAAACACTCTCGTCTCTCTGTGTGTCTTGGTGACCTTAGAAGCAAGCACACTGGACTCAGTGGCTACTGGTTTTGTCTCTTCACACACTAAATTCTGAGTGGCTGAGCCAAGGTGCAGCTGGCTGGGCCCTGTGGCCGCTGGGAGCCTTCACGAAGCTGCAGACAGGCCTGTTGGAGGTGTTTAGCCAGAGCCTCCACACACTGCCGAGGACTGGGATGCGGCTGTGGTGTCTGCAATCCGCATCTGCAGGTACAGGCAGCCCAGGATGCTAAAGGGAGCACAGCCAGAACCTGGACTGTGTGAAGAACCTTCCGTGTCCCATTTTGCTAAAAGATTTCAAATCCAGGGGATTCCATGCGCAATGGATGAATGTAGACACAACACACAAAACCTGTATGAAGATGTAAAGTGCTGGAGATATTTTTCCTTTCTCCTTTCCTTTTTTTTTTTTTTTTTTTTAATCTGAGTTGTGCCCTGTACTGCAGTTCATTCACTGTTTGAATAAAAGTTTTATTTATTGCATCAAGTTGGGTCTGGCGCCTCCTTCCAGTCCCTGGCATGTGTCCAGGCTTCATTGGCCAGGCCACGCCTCCAGGCACCGATCTATAGCCTCTTCGGTGGGCTTTGCAGGGCACCTTGGGGTCATTTGCTGGAAGGACCTAGGTTTGTGGACAGTGCTGACCCGTTTGAGCCCAGCGCCGTTGCTACCACCCTTCTTCACTGGGCTCACTGGTGGTGCTGCTCCAGGTGAGAGAGCAGATCCTGGTGGGGCCTGGGCAGGCTCCAGGTGGGGAAGGTAGCCCCTGCCTGGCCCTCTAGCCCCTGCTCGGCCTCCTGCAGACCTGAATAGCAAGGCAGCCTGCGGGTGCTGCAGCCGGCTCTGCCTGTCAGCTGGTGCTCTGGGCTCCAGGATTCTGGAGCCTGCACTGGGCCCCTGGTATCCCCAGCTTTTCTGGCCTCAGTTCCCTGCAGAGTCCCCTGACCACCTGTTGCTCCCTCATGCCCCACCAACTGAGCCTTGTGTTTCCTTGCAGCACGGATGTGGAAGTGGCCAGACTTTGAGCTGCCCCTGACTAGTTAGTAAGTTGTCCTGGTCTTCTTATGCCCATCTGTCTGCATCTGCAGTGGATCTGGATGGACCCCCCGCCTGGGCCAGGGTAGCCTGGTGGGCAGGGGCCCACCTTCCTGGCAGGGCCTGGGGGTCTGCCCAGCTGCCTAGCTCGGGGCTCCGGGCCTTTCTTCCATTGTTTCCCTTCTGGGCTCCTGGGTCTTCCCTTTTCCCCTGGAGGCTTGCGGTTCTGTCCTGTCCACCCTGATGCTGCCCTCACTATGTGGGCTGCCCTGCCTCTGTCTGTCTCCTCCTGCCCCTGCTGGGTGCTTCAGCCACAATCACAGGGTGGCCCTGGCAAGCAGCTGAGACTGACCACAGAGCACCAGCAGGAGTCTTTTTCTGGAGGGGGTGATGGGCTCTGAGCCTGTCCGGTGAGCATCACAGTTGGGCAGAGCTGGGCCCGGGCTCAGGGTACTGGAGACAAGAGGGTCTGGAGCCTGCTGCCCACTGCCTTCTGATCTTAACCTTTCTAAGTCCCCCCATCTCCTCAGCCAGTCCCAAGACACTGGGGAGACTGCCCAGGAGTGGCCCTCTGCCACCAAACCCAGGGCGCCCCCATCAGCCTCCAGCCCCTTTGCTGGTGATGGCTCCTTTGCTGGCGGAGGGAGCAGACAGGCAGCTGGGAACAGGAAGGGTCTTCCTCAGCCCTCACTGTATCACGTGGCCCTGCTGTGCACACACCCACCAAGTGGAGGGGGCCTCCTGCTGCCCTCCTACCCCACACTGCAGGAGGGTGGCCTGTGAGGCCAGGGCCTGCATCCCTTACAAGGGATATCCCAACCCGTGGCAGCCAGACCATTCAGGCAGTCCCGGACCGGGCTCCTGTGGGACTCAATTCTGTTGGGGAATTGCAGCATGATTGTGGAAGGTTCTGTGCAAAAGCTCCTGAAGTCTGGGGACAGGAAGGCATACCCCCTTCCTGCCCTGTCAACCTCCCACAGGTGCTCCCTGGGAAGCCTACCCTCCTGCCCCCTTCCTGTCCTGTCACCCTCCCACAGGTGCTCCCTGGGAAGCCTACCCTCCTGCCCCCTTCCTGTCCTGTCGCCCTCCCACAGGTGCTCCCTGGGAAGCCTACCCTCCTGCCCCCTTCCTGTCCTGTCGCCCTCCCACAGGTGCTCCCTGGGAAGCCTACCCTCCTGCCCCCTTCCTGTCCTGTCGCCCTCCCACAGTGCTCCCTGGGAAGCCTACCCTCCTGCCCACCTTCCTGCCCTGGGCCCTCTGAGCCCCTTGGTGGCCAGGCTGTCCTCACCTGAAGGCCCAGGAGGCTGGAAGACTCTGCCTGGACCCACATCCCTCACTTAGACTGAGCCATGGACCAGGGAATTTGTTGGGCGTCAGGGGATGCGAGTGTGCCAGCAGCCAGCACCACACCGTGGCATGTCGAGCCATTTCCCAGCCAGTGTCTGCCTGGCCTTTCAGCTCCCCTGGGTGGGGTCAAAGGCCATCTGCAGTTGGTCGACAAGTGCCCTCCTCCCTAGCTTAGGGCCCTGAGAGGGGGCTTGGCATGAGAATGGAGAGGCAAGTGCCAAGGCACCACCCACTCTAAGGCCAACTCCAGAGCTTAGCACCATGGCACACACCTTAATCCCAGAGACCCAGGAGGCTGAGGCAGGAGGGTCCCACGTTCAAGGCCAGCTTCAGCAACTTAGGTCTGGGGACGAGCTCAATGGTAGAAGCCCCTGGGGTTCAATTCCTAGTCACAGCTTCTGTGGGTGCTGCCACTCTGGACACAGGAAGGCACTCATGTGGCACTCTGAGCTCGGCTCTGTCCTCCAGGCAGCCCAGTCTGCTCTCAGACTCCCTGTTTCTCATGCAAGTGGTTGGCTTAGAAAACGACCCTGCTGACCTGAAGTCCATGCTGCTCTTGAATTCTGTCAGCCTGGAATGCGAGCCACGTGGCTTCAGGGATTCAGACTGTTTAAGTTCCTGGTGACAGTGTCCCTCACAGGCGGCTGCCTGCGCCCCAGCCTGTGGGCCGCCAGACCATTCAGGCGGGTCCTGGGCCCTCATCTGCAAGATGGAGCTCCCCTGACCTCTGCCCTGGTGGTGGCTCACCCTGCTGCCCACCTCTCAGCCCTGACCAGCGAGCAGCCCTGCTCTGCCCTGGGAGAGGGCCATTGCATGTTGGTGTCCTCAGGTGTTCCTGTGTCCTGGCTGGGCATGCCCTATCTCCAGTCCCCCTGATCCTGGACATGGCTTGGTGACTTTCCTTGGCCTGGCACACTCTCTCTGTTGCTTGTCCACCAACCGTGCTCAGACGGGAGCCTCTCCTGCCCCGTGGGCAGACGTCCATGGGATCTGCTTGCTGGCACATGTACAGGGAGACGCTGCATGGCCCCAAGGAGTCACCCAGGCTAGCTCCCCAGGGTCACTCAAGAGCCTGCTCTTCCAGCTCCTGGAGGTGGTGGCCTTCTGTGGGGTGGTGAGATGACAGCGTACAGGGTCCCAAGACCCTGTTTCCTCAGAAACTCGGTCTGGATGGCTCCGTGTGCTCCACTGTTTGGAGGCGCAGAAAGGAGAATGTGGGTTAGAGTGCAGACCCTCGCAGGAGGGCTCCCTGAGCCTGAGCTCCGGGTCGTCCTGACTGGTGCCGTGTCTGTCGGGGACAGCTTGGGTGAGAGGGAGGTGCGGCGTGCTGTGGGTGACTCGGCCGTCCTGCCTGGGCACTCGTCTGGAGCCTCCGCAGCTCTGGCACCTGGGACGCTCTGCTCCACCCACTGGCCCTGGAGCTCTTCTCGGGAGCCGGCGTGGTCCGCGGGTAGGCCTGACCGTCGCACCCCGGCCCTCCCTGGCCTCCGGGCAGCAGTGGGAAGCTGCCTGCCCTGAGCTGAAGAGAAGCCCAGCCCTGGGCAGAGCCCCCAGCTGCAGCAGAGCCGGCACTGGCCCTGGACTCTGGATGCTGTGAGCCAAAGGCGGTCAGTCAGCATCAGAGCCGGAGGAGCGACGCCGTCTTGAGGTCCTCCAGACCACGTGGCCTGTCCGTCTTCTCGTTTCATCTTTTCCAAGCCTCACAGTGTTTCCAATCTGTAGAAAACACGAAGTCCTTGGGAAAGCATAGGGAGATGCCCCCGCCTGCGGGCGTCCTCCTGGGCATGCTGGATGGAGTGCCTGCCCACAGGCCTGCTGCTGGCTCACCCAGGCTCCCGAGGACCCGCTGGGTCAGAGGTGACCCCGCTCCAGGTAACGGCTCCAGAGCCCAGCCCACGTTCCAGGAGCACAGTCCTGTGCCTGCGAGTCCTGTGTTCACACGCCATCTGTGCTGTCCCTTGTGGAGCTGCCTGACCTACCACCTGCCGCCCCATGCTGTCCCAGCCTGGGGAGGTCCTCTCGAGCCTGACAGGGACTGACGAGAAGAGGCTCCCAGGGGACCAGGCCGCTGCTGTGCCCTCTGTGCTCATCTCGTGCCATTTCCACTTCTTGTCTCTTGAGTCCTCTTTGTGTATCAACTGCAGCCCGGGGACCCCTGGGGAGGGCTCAGCTCCCTGGGGAAACCGCCGCCCAGTGGAGAAAGAGCCAGCCCCTGGCAGGGGCCACCACGCCCACCCCCAGCCTGTAGGTGCCAGCACACCTCGTGTCTGTGTCTGCCTGTCTGCAGTGTGTCTCCACGGGACGCCTGCATGCCTGGGCCAGCTCCTGTCGCCTGCCAAGCTGTGTCCTATGTGTTGATGGGCCATCAAGCCCAGTTGCTCCTCAGCCTGGCCTGGTGGGGGCTCACCTGATGGTACCCTCTGGAGCTGGAAGGGTGGCAGTGTACCCCCACCATTCCTCTCTGGGACGGTTGCCAGTGTGAAGTGGGGGTGCCCTGTCCAGAGCATGTGGGGTGAAGAGAGGCTGGCTACACCAGGGGTCAGCAGGCTTTGCAGAGAATGCCTGGCTCTGGCCCCAGCACCCCCCTTGTCCACAGCTCTGAGTTCTGAAGTGGGCTGTGGGAGTCCTTGCTGGCAGTCCCAGGGCAGCCTGGGTGGCACGACTTGTTCAGAGCAACTGTCCCCAACTGAAATCACTCTTCTCTCCTCAGGAATCCCTTTGCCAATGTCCACCTGAAGCCAACGGTGACCAATGACAGGTCTGCTCCCCTCCTCAACTGACAGCCACGCCTGCAGTGCCACATTCTGCCACCCATACACCTGACTCTGTCACCACCTGCGAGTTCCTGTTGGGAAGACCAAGGCCCAAGCCCCCTTCAGCTCAGTTGGATCTGAATCTCGGCTGTTCCTGGGATTGGTGACGGGCGGGACTGACCAGGGGGTGACCCTGAGAACTCTAGGCCTGCTGGTCCTGCCATGGCCTTGGCACAGAGGCTGGTCCTCTTAGGGCAGGCATCTCTGGTCCCAGGCCAAGAGCTCTAGTTGCCCCTGGTCACAGGAAGAAATGGGTCACCTGTGGCTGGAAGGGCGCCTACTGCTGTTCTCACCCCCCAAGCCTGCTCAGTCCACGGGCTGTTCTCACCCCCTGGGCCTGCTCAGTCAACGGCTGCCCCCTGGGCCAGGTGTGATCTGTGGGCCTGGTGGACCCTGTTCTCCAGTGTGATTTATCTTAGCACCAAGCTTCCCCCAGGCTCCGCCTGCTGTTCCTGGGGACTGAGTGGGCTCTGCCCAGCTTCCATCCTGCCTCTCTCCAGGCCCATCTCCTCCCTGCCTGAGCCCTACTTCCCATCCAGAACTCTGCTGCTGGCAGTGTGCCCGGGGTCACCAGCTGTGTGCCTGCTGGCTGGTGGGGTCCTGACTCTGCCCAGGACTCCTGGGTGGGACGGGACTACCCCCCAGCTGCTTCCTGCAGGGGCTGAGCCTTTGCTGGATACAAACTTCCAAGCTCCTGAGCAGAGCTCACTCCTCAGAGACCCTCCAAGGAGGGCTCTGAGCTCCTGGCTTGTCTACACGGGAGGCTGCACACGGGAGGCTGCGCCATAGCTCAGGTGGCACATGGAACCGCAGGAGCACAGAAATCCTCGCTCCTCCAAATCCTCTGCCTCTTCTACCCACTGCTGGGCAAGGGGCAGGCACAGCCCGTGGAAGGGTGGGGGGACTGCCCTAGGGAGGTCTGGGTCCACCCTCTTCACCCAGGAAGAGGGGCTTTTGGGGGTCTCCCGCCCTGACAGCGGTGCCAGGTCACCAGGGTGTGCCTCCTATCCCCAGACAGCTGGTGGCTGGCAAGCCCCCCCCCCGCCCCAGGGCTTTGTCTACAGACACCAAAGAAGACACTGAGCACAAGATTTTTTTCTTAGCGTGGTTTCTCTTAAAAAAACAAAAAAGAACAAGAAAATCATTGCACCAGCTTCTGAAGCCTCAAACTAATTAAAAACAAAAAAACCACACACACACACAAACTAAAAAATGTCCCTTCCCCACCCCCAAAGCAACAATAAACTTTCTCTTTGGCAACAATAACTTAAAATCACCCCATTTCCATTCATTCCAGCAACCTTGGTTACAAAAATACTTCCCTGTGCTGCCTGCGTACCCCGGCCCCGCCTCTTCCCCATTTCTCTGTGGCAGAAGCCCCCACTATCCCTTGACTGCTGGGGCCCGGGGCCAGGCACTATCCCAAGGGGGGGAGCTACCTGTACCACCCTGCCGAGGGCACCTCTAGAACAGGGCCAGTAGTGGGGTGAGGCCTGGAAGCCCCTCTTGGTGCTTCTGGCTGCCTTTTGCAGCTCAGGAGGACCCAAGAGGGAGCATCCCAGACCCTGTGGGGAGGGCCTTGTGGGCAGAGGCAGTGAAGGGAAACAGTCACTCGGAGATAAGGGCATTGGAGACACTGAGCCCAGGGGTCTCTTCTTGCACCAAGCAAACCCAGACCAAGGTGGAAGGGTGCAGGAAGATTTGAAGGCCTGACCTCATCTGGGGCCAGGCCTTGCCTGGCCAAGGACACAAATGTCCTGTGAACACAGGAAGGAAGCCAGCCAGGCAAGGCATGCAGGCCCGTGGCCAAGGGTGGGTCCCCAGGCCTGAGGCCAAGCAGTCCAACAGCAGCAGCCAGGCAGAAGGGTGGCCGCAGGGTGGGCCACCTAGGCCCAGGGAGTGGGCCCCTCTGGAGCGTGCATGTATGTGGAGACATCCATCGCGCCATAAGCATCCCCAGGCCGACAGCAAACCCGGGTCCAGTCACATTCTGCCCCCAGGGCAGCGCGAATGTCCTTGCACGGCCAGTTTTCTGTCCACCGGCTTCTCCAGAATGCTGCAGGGGGCACTATGGCACTGGAGTCCCATTCCCCTTCACCATCCTTGCTGCTGCCTGGGCAGGGCCTTCAGTGACGCCAGCATTCATGAGGGCAGCTGCTCAGGTCTCAAGCCTCAGGGCAGCCAGCCCCGGCACTGGCTGCAGGGCCTGGCAAGGGGGGTTGCAGTGAGCATTTGGAAGAACCGCCCATCCCAGGCTCCAGGCCCCTCCCCAACACTCCCACCAGGGCCAGGGGCAGGCCTCTTCCCTGCAAGTCAGAGTCTAGGTGGGCCTGTTTCTCCTCCCACCACCTCTCCCCCACCCAGGCCCAACAATGCTAAGCAAAGGCCCTCCACGTCCTCCTGCAGATGGGGAAACCGCCCGTGGGAAGCGGGTGTCGAAGGTCATGCAATCGCCGCCTGGTCATCTGCCTGTCTGTACTGGGGATGATGGCAGGCCCTTGCCCAGGCCAGGACAGCTGTAGGGGCTGGGTCTATCTGGGGGAGGAGAGGTAGGCAGGCTTCCGGGAGGAGGTGGGCTTTGAGGGAAGCTTAGAGGATCTGAAGGGACTTGTCAAGCAGTGGGCAAGGGTGCCTGGAGGGGGGACCTGGCAGTGGACTGGGACGTGAATGGCAGGGGTGGTCTAGGGCCCTTCCTCCAAGAGGGAGCCGATGCGATCCCACCGGTGCCTGGGGAGAACCTCCCACCTGGGATGGCCAGCAGGTGGGGGTGGGGGGCCGTAGGCGATGGCGCCCTAGCGCGGGGAAGGGTCTGGTGGCAGAGGCTGCAGCTGATTTGGGGGCGCTAGGGCCAAGCAGGGGAAAGTTGGTAGGGTGCTCAGTGTCCAGCGGCCTGCCAGGAGGGAGAAGGAGAAGCCCGAGTGTTTGCTCGGACGCGGGCAAGCCGCTGCTACAGCAGCCGAGGCCCGGGAAGGCGTCCCTCCCAGCTGCCTCCCAGTCGCGCCGCCGCTCGGAGCCTCACCTCCCACGGACTGGGCGTCCGCGTCCGACACGTGCGTGATGGAGAAGCGGGACACGGGCGCGGGCGACACGGTGAAGCGCGAGAAGGCCGTGGGCGCAGCCGGCGTGAGGGGAGAGGGAGAGAGAGAGAAAGAGAGAGAGAGAAGGAGAGAGAGTGGGAGAGAGAGAGATAGTGAGAGAGAGAGAGAGG